CCTCCACCTCCTGCTTGGCTACCCGGCAGCCCCCGCCCATTTGCCAGCCGGCTCCCCCGCCCCTGGCGCCACGCCATCTTGGCGCGCGGACCCACCCCCAGGCCCCCCTTTGGCCTGACGGCTTAAGTTCTGCCGCCCTACAGCGCACCCCCTGGCACAGCTGGGTCAGCGCGGCCGCGGGGTTCCCGGAACGGTTCCCCACGCCCTGGTTCGCCCCCATGCGCTGGGCTGCGGGCCGCTGCCGCCCCGCCTGCCGAAGGGGTCTCCCGCGGGCGGGGCGCTCCTCTTCCCTCCCCCCCTTTCCCCTCTCTGGATTCCCTCCCTCCCCTCGCGCGCCGCCGTGGCGCCGTTCGCTGCCGCTCCTGGCGCGCCGTCCCCCCCTGGTGTATCTGGCGGCGGACGCTGCGCTAAGGCGCATCTCCCTACAGCCTTCCACCTGGTGGGCGCAGCATCTTGCTGTCGGCAGTCCCCAACCTGGACTCCCGTCCTGCTTCACGACTTGGTCTACCTCGTACTGAACACCGGCAGCGCCCGTGGGTGCACCGACGCCGCGGCCCGGCTGCTGCCACGGTCCCGCTGCCCGGCATGGAAGTCTTCCGCGTCTGGGTGCCTCCTCCTGTCCTCCGCGGCCGTTCCCCGTGCTTTGTTCCCCCTCTTGCACGCCAGCCAATCCGCGCATCGGTCGCCCTGGATCGCCGCCCGCTGGAGCAGCTCCTCTGCCTCGCCGCTGACGAAAAAGTCTGTGTGTGCGTGTGTGTGTGTGTGTGTGTGTGTGTGTGTGTGTGTGTGTGTCGTGTCTTGTGGTCCACCTCTCTCCGCCTGCACTACGTCGGACTTCGGCTCAGAGGTCGCCGCCGGCCGCTTCATCGCCATTTGCCTCCAGGCCTGTGCAACCTGGTACGGCCTTCTGGGCTCTGCGGAGCACGCTTTCCTTGTGACCAATCGCGGAGCCGCCAGCCTTGCTACTGCACGGTCGGCCACCCTGAGCAGCCTGCGTGCTGGCCTGAGCGACTCTTCAGCTTGTTTTGCTCTGGGCGCCGCCTGGTGGGTCGCCCCCCCCCGCCCCCCTCTGTGCCACGCCGTCGTGCGTCGCTCCTCTGCTCTCTATCTGCGCTCGTCCCCCGGGCTGTCGCCCGGGGGTCCGTCCTCCTCCCTCGGTCGTCGGGTCGTTGCTGTCGCTTCCCCCTCCTCCTGGGAGGAGGAGGAGGAGAAGGAGGAGGAGGAGGAGTAGGAGGAGGAGGAGGAGGGGAGGAGAAGGAGGAGGAGGAGGAGGAGGGGGAGGGGGAGGGGGAGGAGGAGGGGGAGGTCGTTGCTGTCGCTTCCCCCTCCTCCTTCTCCCAGCTTCGGGTTCGCCCCGGTCCACGGGCGTCGCCCCCTCCCCTGCTCCCTGCTGCCGTGCTCCCCCGGAGCGGTCTATACCTGTGTGCCTGCGAAGGCCGACGCTGGCATGGTATTCTGTTCCCCTCGCCGCGTCGCGCTACCCCTAAGCGGGCCGTCTGCGGCAATGTATGTGTACACTAGGGGCCCCTCCACGAGAAACCTAACCCTGAGACCCCATGATGTTCATTGATTTTTGGTGTGGGAACGTCACCCTGGAGGCACCCTTGAGGCAAGTAGGGTGTTTCTTGGCATGGGCCCCCCACTGTATGCCCGGTCGTGCACCTCTTTTTCCTGCACTTGCAACCTCCTGGTGGTTGCCCCCCCCGCCGCACACCAGCACACGCTAGGTAGCAATCTGCTCAGGACATCTCTTTCATGCCCTCGCTGAGTTGGACCCACCGACTGGGAAGAAAAAACGTGTGCGTGTCTGTTCCTCAGCTTGTCCCTCGTCTCCCTCCCGCTTCTCGTTCCGCGTCTTCCATACAGGTAAACTATCGCTCGATTCAGTTTCAGCGTCGGGCGGAAGCGCCCTCACCTTCAGGGCAGGTCCGCGGGGGGATGCGCTGAGCCCAAGAAGAGGCGGCGACAGCATGGCCGCGCAAGGTACCCCCTCAACAGACTCGATGGTATCCGGCTGGTGTTGCCCTGCCTTCCTTCCCTGCGCCATTGAGTAGTGATCCTTCCACCGATCCCCATCCCAGCGGCGTGGCCTGGGCCCCACTGGCCGATGTGCCCCCCCGAGATGGGGACCCAGGCCGCTCCCTTCGGGCTTCGAGGTGGGGTGCATCCCGACTGGGGTGGCAACTTCGTGGGGGCCTCGAAGGAAGGATTGCAAGAAAACCTAGGGTTTTGTTTGCAATCCACGGTTTTTTTGCAATCCTAGGTTTTTTTGCAATCCTTCGTTTTTTTGCAATCCTTCGTTCAAGATAGGGGGTGGGGATGGGCATCGCTTGAAAACGACACCGCTCTTCTGCGGCCGCTCTTCGGAGGGACCCATGGCATGGGGCACCGGCGCCCGCCCGGGCCCGCCCGACGGCCGCGCGCCGCCCGCCCCCCGAGGCGGGGGAGGGGGCTGGCCCGAGCCGAGCGGGGACGCACCGACCGCAAGGGGCCCGGGGACACGCAGACACAGACAAATGCACGCAGATCCCAGGATTCCCCACATGTCTCCCCACAGGTTCTGTTTTTTTTCGCGTTCCCCCCCCCCCCCCCCTTCCCGTAGTCTCCCGTGTCTCCCTGGGAGTCGGCGATCCACCGTGTCTGTGCGCTTTTGCCCCTCCTGAGGTTGGCCCAAGCGGATCGGGGACGCACTGGACAGGGTCTATCCAAACTCGGGCCAGTCGGGCTTTGCAGGACCTTGCAGGATCCTGCAGGATCCTGCGCGCTGGCCTGGGTCAATTCAGCGGGCGAAGAACGGCATAAGATCAACTTTCCGCCGTCGAGGACGCTTGCCCCCCCCGGGCGGCTGGAAAATCCATACCCCTACGTGGCAACGTCTGGGTGTACACTTTCCAGCCGCCTGGGAGGCAAGCGTCCCCGACGGCGGAACAAAAAGTTTGTGCTGTACCGCTCTTCGCCCGCTGATCAGTGCAACCCCGGTAGAGGAAAAAGAACTATGCACATGCACCGATTCTGGCCAGGCCCATCCTGAGCCCAGGATCGGTGCATACGCCCTCCTACCTTGGCCAGGAAGGCGTATGCACCAATCCTGGGTCAAGGATGGGCCTTGCCAGGATCGGTGCATGTGCATAGTTCTCTGCGCCCGACACGGCTCTGCAGGACCCTGCAAAACCCAGCGCTCCAGCTTTAGGTCGGGCCTGGGGCCCCCCACAGGCCGACCTTCGAGGAGATAGTTTTAAAAAGTGCTCCAGCACTGCCACAGACAACAAAAAAAAACGCCCAACACGTCGCCCCCAGACTATCCTTGGACCAGTTTGGAAGCTCCCCTTCCCCCCGTCGAGGGACAGGCCCGACGGAACTCCAGCTGGCCCCCGTCGGCGCTGGCTCCCGCCCTCGGAGGCTCCCGAGCAGAGGCCGGCTCGGAGGCCGCCGGCCTGGCTGAGGTTCTCGTGCGACGTCGCCTCCTGCAGCAGCCGCTCCACCTGCCCGCCGGGGGCGCCCGCCGTGCCGAGCCCTCCCGGAGGGGTCGGGTGCTCGTGGTCGGGGGGGGCGAGGACTCGAGCAGGGGATCGCCGACAGGACTGCTCTGCCCCGAAAGCCTGGTTCCCGCGTCGGAGCCAAGGAAGGCGTGCAGGAGCCTCCGCAGACCTGCGCACAGTCCAGGCTTTCGTCGCAGATTCGATGGGGAAGCAACTTGGGGGTCAAATTATGCTGCTCTCATCGTCATGCCTGAAACAAGTTCGAGCACACGGAAAAGTGTCGAAACAGTGTCGAAACATTTTCGGACGAATGTCTCCCAGGGCCCGACACGTGAAAATCCTGGAGTTTTGGTATTTTCTGGTGCTCGAAATTCTTTCTGGTGGTCAAGGCTAACGTAGGTTGGAACATCGTACAGGTAAATCAATTCTGCAGTCGATCCCCTACTCGAAGGAAGCGTGGGGTGAAGGAACGCGCGCCCCTCCACAGCACCGTTCACGGGCCCGCGGTGGCAGTTCCGGAAAGGTTCGGGGCCGCTCTCTCCTGCAGCCCTCGATGCCCCCCCCCCTTCGCGAGGAGGAGGAGGACGAGGAGGAGAGGAGGAGGAGGAGGAGGAGGAGGAGGACGAAGGAGGACGAAGAGGAGGAGGAGAACGAAGGAGGACGAAGAGGAGAAGGAGGACGAAGGAGGACGAAGAGGAGGAGGAGGACGAAGGATGACGAAGAGGAGGAGGAGGAGAAGAAGGAGGAGGAGGAGGACGAGGAGGAATGAAGGCATGCATGTCCTTCTTGGTCCCATGTGTCTCTGCTGGGTACATGCGCACTCAAATGTGTATTACGAAACCGAACGGACGACGGCGTGCTGCATGTTACCTGGAGTGCGGCCTAATCGACGAACAATCTACAAGGCCAACGAACCCACCGACGAGAGGTGGAGAAGGAGGAGGAGGAGAAGGACAATCGCAAGGCCTCGGAATGGCTCGACTCCACTGATGGCGACTCGAGCGCTTGACTGGGGGGGGCCTCATTGGGCCACTCTTTCAATGGGAAAAGGGGCACCACAGACCACTGGGGTGTGTTTTGAAGCCTCGGGGGGCCTTCCCGAAATGAGCGGAGACCTGGCTCGGCGTGCAAACTTACATAGTCGGCGGTGGACAAGCCTCCCATGAATAAACCTCCCCTTCGTGACAACGGCCTGGGGCCGAAACCGACGGACCTGGACCCGCAAAAATGACGGCCGCGACGCCCTCTCGCGAACCGAAAACGGCCAATTCCTTTATCGGCATGTCAGGGTAGGAGGTCTATCAACCTCCGACTTGGAAGGGAACTCACCAGGGCACTGCTCGTGGAGCTCGTTCAGCGCACATCCCGAATACTCACTGCAATCAACGCAGGCTCATCGATCCTGTCAACCGAGCTTTTTCTTGAGGTGGAGGGCGAATGGTGAAATCTGAAATGCCGTTTCGATTGATCTTCTAGGCTTGAATCTTCATCTTGGGGTCAGCCGCGCCCCGCGAGCGAGCGCGCCCTGTCGCTCGACCCATCTGCTGCCCGCCAACGTGCACTCCATGCCCTCAATCCTCGTCGCTTCCAGGAACACCTGTCTGGTCTCGCCGCGCCTCTCGAACGCAGGGTCCATGGATCACTTCAGAACGGAAACGCCCGCGCTATCGACCGACGAACCTGGCGGTCGGCGATCGTTAGTTTCCTCCTGCATCGGGCGCATCCGCGTCTGCTCTATCACCTGCAAGGTTTCGTTTCCGAAAACCGCGTACCCCGCCGGAAACGAGGGCAGGTCCCACGAGACCGACGAAGCGCAGCCACGGCGGACAGCATCTTCAGGTAGCATGCCTGTTCGGGACTGTGACTCGCACAGGCGCGAGCCCTCCTGCGTCTCGTGCTCGATGTGGGCCTGTTCCTTCGCCTCTGGGTAGTAACTGTCTTCGTGCTCAATCTCTTCGTTTGGCGTCGTAACAGAATCCTCGTCAACAACGATGCTGAGGGCTGACCAGGCAGCTGCTGCCACTGCTGTAGTGCACTCGAAGGCGGCCCAGCGTTGGTGCCGGTCGCCGCGCTGGAATCATCTCCCGTCGCCATGTAGACCTTGCTGCCCGCAGTAGCCCGACGCTGACGATATTCGACATAATCCGGGGCGTCACACTTTCGCCGTAAACGCTTCTCGCTGCCACAGTGGTCGCGGTTGAGCAGCTGTCCGTTGGAGCCGCGCGGGTTGGTCCTGTCGCCCTTGCCTTTTCCCTTGTAGTACTCGTGAGTGTTCCATGCGCACGCAGTTGGGACAAAGAGCTCCATCGCCAACTTCCGACCAGAAAGGCCGCTCACTGTTGCGCTGAAGCCGAGGCCCTTCCTTCCTTTCCCTTTTTCTTTGCTGGAATAGCGATGCTTGCGAGGTGGTCGATCTGTCCGTCGACACCAATGCTTCTTGGCCATCGCCTAAACCTCGTGCAGATACCCGTCAGAGGTGTTCGGTCCCAACTCAACCGTAGTCTCGGTCAAAGGCGCGCCGTCATCGTCGTTCGGCTCGGTCGTGTCTGGGTCCTCGTGGTACACCTGCTGGCTAGAACTGCGCCAACATCTCTCTGCATTGTACTTCCCGTTCTGTCCCCCAGCAGCTCCTCCTCGCGGTCCTCCAGACGATGGCGAGGCCGCTCCAGGGAAGTAAGGATGTTGGTCTCCTGCTTGAATGCCAGCGTCTTGTTGCTGTTGGCCATTGTCCGAAAAAGAGATCCATCCGTGCCACTTCGCATCTGATCAGCGTGATGGTGCTGGTGTCTTTGCCTTGACTGATGCGTTGCCTGTGCCAATCCAACTCGCTCGTATAAATGATCCTGCCGTCGAATTAATGATGTCATCGCCGTGAGTTCCGCCTCTGTTGCTGGTGGGTTGCCTCCAGTGGCTGCCAGAAACTGAGCCCACTGATTCGGCGGTACTCCAAGCGCATCCAGCAGCATCCACGCGAGATTGGGCACACTCATGTAGAAATTCCCGATATGCTCTGCTGTGAAAATCAAGAGGTCGAATCTCGCGAACGCTTGATCTATCGGTTCGCCCAGGTTCCGTCGAACGGCGGCGAGCTCTGTCATGCTAATGATCGCCATCTCCAGTTCCAATGGAACAAGCTGTCTCCGAATCTATCATGAACGAAGAGATCCATCCCATAATGCTACTGATGTCCAAGACCGTCCCGAAGATTGAGCCATACTCCGTTTTGAAGCTGCTGCGGAGGTACTTCTCTTGATATTTCTCGTGCTAATCCTCCGCTGGGGTATATATATATATATGTCATAGCTTCCCACATTCGTACGTCCGTGATCCAATCTCTCAGAGGTCAGCCGCTTCTCCGCTGTGATCCCAGCTCGGTGGCACATTCGTGTTCGACTGCCTGTTGAATCCAGCATTGGGGCCCGCTCCAACTTCACCATGGGGCATGCCCGCCATCTTGGTAGATTGGTTGCGCAGTGGATGAGACTGTCCGTACGTCCGTGAACGACTTTCAGCCAACGCGTACTGGGAGCAGGTACAAGGTCGCACCTGCTCTGCTACCAAGTTGATTTCCAGGTGCTCCTCCTCGCCAGTCTGCCAGAGGAGGTCAACACACAGCTCCGGCTTGTCCGCCGGTGAAACGCCGCAGGTTGCCCTGGCGCTGATCAGGTGCAGTGCGAAGAAGACGGAGAGCAATAGGAAGTCTATGATATACTTCGACGTCATAATGGATCGGATGAGAGAGGCGGGGCCGCCACGGGTCGGGTCTGCACGAAGGATCTCTGCTCTCCACAAACCGGCTTGAGCCAGAGCGGCGTCGGTCGACCCGCTCTGTCATACACTGCTGTCATCATGCGGCCAACGCTTGCTGAGCACCCTCCCCACCCTCTTGGACAATCGCCTACACTGTAACTCACGGCTGGACAACCATACGAGGACTAGCAAGCAAAAGGGGGACTGAAACACGACGCTTCTGGCGTCTTCCAGTGCGCAACGCGACCTGCATCAGGGTATCACCAACATGGCGCTGAACGGCACGACGGCCACCAACAACGCAACGCCGAGCAGCACGCCAAGTACCGGCGCCGCGCCGCTGATCAACACGGCGAAGAGCCGGACCGCGACTCTGGCATCCACCAGCTTTCGAGATCCGCGGCCCGTTTGGAGATCCGTGGCTCGTTTTGGAGATGCGTGGCTCCGCTCGGAGAGTTGGGAGGGAGAAGGGGCGGAAAAATGACGAACGAACAACACACACCCACCCATACCGATAGGGAGGTCAGCAGGAGGAGGACTGGCTATGGGTATGAGTGCGGGTTGTCGGACCCTGGGGAACGCTCCCGTTCGAGCGGGGACCCCCATCCGACAACACGCACCCGTACCACTCTCCCATCCCGTGTGTTGCTGGTTCGTCAAAGAAGGGATGACGGAGAACGTGAGCGCGGCGGCGCGGGGGCGCCCAAGCCGCCTGCGCCTCCACGTCCAGGACCTCGGTGCGGAAGTCCGTGCCGTTGAGCTTGGAGTACACGCGGCCTGAGGCAGGCCGGTGCTGGTCTGGCGGCGCGCCAGGGGGCGGGGGCCGGAGGCGAGGAAGGGGGCGGGCGCGGCCTCGACACGCAGACCCTCTGCCAAAGGCCCAGAGGCTCCCTGGAAGAAGGCCGGGGAGCTCCTGAGAGGCCCCTCCGCCCGGTCGGAAGGCCGCCCCCCCTCCCCCTCGTCCTGCCCCCGACCCGGGCCCGCGCAGCGCCGACCCCAGTCCCCCCTCCTCGCCATCGCTCGGGCGTCCGTTCCCCGTGCACACGTTTCGGTGTCGTGCGCGTCTTGCTTCACACGATGGCCCGAGATGCTCCTCAACGGTCCTCGTCGAAGAGGAGACATGCACGCGTCCGAGCGATGGCAAGCCTCCTGGGGTCCATCCGGGCCAGCTCTTCTGGCTCGGCCCAGCCATGGCCAGGGGGAGTCTCCAGGAGGCCCCGGGACGACGAACAGCATCGGCACATCCCCTCGCCCAGCCTCCTCCTGCGCGGCGTCCAGCAGGCGCGGATGTGCGCACGCGCCTTCGCGCGCGATTGCGGGTCTACCGAGGTCCCGGGCTACCTCCCAAGAAGATACATCACCCCTCCACCCGGGGTGGGGGGGCCCAGCAAAATTGCCACGCCTCCCCTCTCGATAGGGCCGTCGTTGCTCCTGGGGGAGTCGCCGGACTCAGAGTCCTGGCCCGCAGTGTCAAACCTCGAGCCCAAGGGAGCAGATCTCATTCCAGGGAGCCCAAATTTTGTGCCTGGCGACCCTTGCCCCCCCAGAAAAACTTGGGCCCCCAGCAGCAGGGGATACGAGCGAAGGGGGTGACTCTGAAGGGCGGGCCACCCCCGCTTCCCCTCCGCCCTCTCCCTCCCCTGCTGTTCGACTCCCCCTCCCCCCATCCGGCACTTCCTCTTACAATGTACGCAGCTCTCAGGCTATGACACGCTCAACGCAATTTGAAGGGCTGGGTGGGAGGGGTTGTATGTTAGATATGGCGCGACTGCGCCTAGCCTGGACCCTATCTCCATCTCCCATGTCCATGTCCTCACATATCCTCTATCTGCCCGCTCTACATTTACAATGCTCACACGATGTCTCCCTTGAACCTGAGCTGTCGGCGCTCCAACCCTCCCGCGTACTGTTTCTCACACGCAGCATTCTGCAGTATAATATGAGATATGTGTCTGCTTGTGTATACAGTCGGAGGTTGGGGGTGTAAACGGAAGTGACCCCAACCAGGAAATCGGTTTCGGTTTCGGTTCGTGTCGTGCTTGCGGGCGAGGCGAAGCTGCGCGTTCCTGCACTGGTAGAGGCCACATGGAGCCCCAAAGGTCACCCGCCCTCCCCCCCCGCCCCCCCCCGCTGGGCGCGGCCCCCGATGGTTGTCCCGCGGGTTGTCTTGATGGTTGTCCCGATGGTTGTCCCGATGGTTGTCCTGATGGCTGTCTCGATGATTGTCCTGATGTTTGTCCCGATGACTGTCCCGATGGTTGTCCCGATGGTTGTCCCGATGGTTGTCCCGATGGTTGTCCCGATGGTTGTCCTGATGTTTGTCCCAATGACTGTCCCGATGGTTGTCCCGATGGTTGTCCCGATGGTTGTCCCGATGGTTGTCCCGATGGTTGTCCCGATAGTTGTCCCGATGGTTGGTCCGATGGTTGTCTCGATGGTTGTCCCGATGGTAGTTTCGATAGTTGTCCCGATGGTTGCCCCGATTGCTGTCCCAATGGTTGTCCCGACGGTTATCCCGATGGTCGTCCTGATGGTTGTCCCGACGGTTGGCCCGATAGAGAGGTCGATTGATCTATATATATACACATTTACACATGTAGATATATATACATACATACACACATACATACATACATACATACATACATACATACACACATACATACACACATACATACACACATACATACATACATACATACATACACACATACATACATATATGTAGATATATGAGATATAGATGGACACACATATATATATACCGATTGATGTGTTGACTCGATGGTACTTACACACGTATATATACATATCTATGTGTGGGGCAGGCGGGGGGTGAGCGATAGCTCAACGAATTAAGGAGACATGTCTTTCCCTCTTCAATCGGCCAAAGCTGTTGACAGAGCTTAAACTCCCATGGGCACCTATATTTACATTTGCAGAGGCCTCTGCACAGAGCTCGAAAGGTCTACTCTCTTTTGCACGGACCGACCCCCCACGCCAGAGCACAGACCGCACCCCGAGGCCAGAGCTGGATTCGCAGACCACCATCCGCAGACTGGGGTCGGCCACCATCACGGGAGACTGGGGCCAGAACGCTCCGCGGCCTCGGGGGCCAGGGGAGGCTCGACGGCCTTGGGGGGGCCCAACAAAGAGAACCCCCTGAGAGCCCAGCAGGACCGTGCCCAAGAAGCTCGAGCTCTCGCGAGACTCAATGATGCATTCGCCACTTAGGGCGGTATGTGGGTGGGCCAGAACAGCTGCCATGCAAGCGAATGCGGCCGATGTGACACGCAACCCCCCTGACGCCCACACATCTACCGTAAACGTATACATGTATGGGGCAGGCGGGGGGTGAGCGATAGCTCAACGAATTAAGGAAACATGTCTTTCCCTCTTCAATCGGCCAAAGCTGTTGACAGAGCTTAAACTCCCATGGGCACCTATATTTATATATAGAGGCCTCTGCACGGAGCTCGAAAGGTCTACTCTCTTTTGCACGGACCGACCCCCCACGCCAGAGCACAGACCGCACCCCGAGGCCAGAGCTGGATTCGCAGACCACCATCCGCAGACTGGGGTCGGCCACCATCACGGGAGACTGGGGCCAGAACGCTCCACGGCCTCGGGGGCCAGGGGGGGCTCGACGGCCTTGGGGGGGCCCAGCAAAGAGAACCCCCTGAGAGCCCAGCAGGACCGTGCCCAAGAAGCTCGCCAACTCTCGAAAAAGACACCAAGCTCTCCATTCTGTGTTTTTCCTCTGGCCGTAGGCCGAAGATATGTCAAGCCTGGCGACGGCAGCACGGGCAGCAGCTCGCACCAGACATCGCAAATTATTGCAGCAGGTCATGGGCTGCAAAACGCTCGGACACGAGCGAAAAGTGCATTAGAGAACTGCTGGAGCGTCGAACGGGGACGATCCTGGAGCTTCATCTCTGCGATGATGGCAGCCCCGTCTTGGATGTATATCTTTGCCGTTCTTGCGGAGCCCCAGCGCCCACGCAGCATGACCTTAGACAAGTCGCCCGACAGCAGGAACTCATGCGCGGCACTTCCGCGCCTCAGGCTGCAAGGAGACAGGGCGAGGTGCTTGCAACCGATCTGCTGGGGCCCAGCACGGAACAAATCGTGAAAGGCGCGCGTCGTGCCAGGCCAGAGCCGGCTGTCACGCTGGAGCTGCATATGGACGACTGCCCCAACCAGCGGGTCGTCAAGCGTGACTTGCTCCCGCGCGCCCTTCTGGCAAGAGGTCTTGGTCCAGGGCAACGACACCACGCCTCGGCCACAGGGCTTCAGAAAGATGACGCCGCCGCTCAGCCCCAACGCCTCGCCAGTGCGGAGACAGAGATGGAAGGCCACGAGCAGCGCGGCCGCGAAGGCCACCTCTCCGCGGCTGAGCGCCCAACCGGCGAGCGCCGTGCAGACCTGGGCAGGCATCGGCGGCGCGCGCTGAGGGATCTCCAGTCTGCCCCAGACTGTCAGCAGCTGCCAAGCGCCAGGATAGCGGCGTCGTGTCCTCAGCAGGTGCTGCACGCCGCTGAGGGTGTCATTGCCTTCTCCTTTGTCGCGCCCTCGGCCCACAAGTGCTCAAGATAATCTTGCAGGCATGTATCAATATCGTCCCAGGTGAAAGGCAGCGGCAGGTTATTGGCAGCAAGGTAGTCAACAAAACGCTGAGCGGCGCCACGGTAGCGGGCCAGCGTCGAGGCCTTTATCCTGGCGTCTCTCAGCTTCCCCAGTCCAGCTCTGGCGGCGCGGCGGTCAGCAGGGCTACTCCGCTTCTTACCCATCGCGGAGACGCGACGGGGCGTCCGCGGGGTTGCGCGCCGACGACGTGAAGCCGAAGACCGCCCGCGCGCCCATCGCAAGCTCCCACGCCGAGAAGGTCCGCACCACCTTGTTGAGCTGAGGACTGCTGGAACGGTGCTTGGACAGCGCACCGATGTTGACCATGCTGTCGAGCAGGTGCAGGAAGACGCACTGATGGCGGCGCACCGACCGCGCCCGCCATCGAATCATCATCAGCGCGCCCTGGCACTCAAGAACGTTGATGTGCTCTGCTGCATCCCACACTAGCTGCCTTGCCTTGCGCCACCGCCGAATGCCTGAGTCGATCTCCTGCCGCGGGAAGATCTTGCCGAGCGCCTCCGAGGCGCCATCGGTCCTGATGTCTGCTCCGTTGTTGTGGCACGCCATGACGAGCCCCATGACGATGCGTCTGGACGCGTCCAGCTCGCGCCACTCCACCACGTCACGCTTCGCCAACTCCGCCAAGAGGATGTCGGCATGGCACGCCTGGTCGGGCCCACAGTGACAATCCAGTAGGGCCCCGCGCAGCGTCTCCAAGCTCTGCAGGAGGGTGGGCAGCGTGCGGATCCAACCAGCGAGCAGGGCAACAGCGTCCTCGCGTGACCGCTCGGGGCTGATCGTGAAAGGGTTGCCCCACCGCGAGGCAGCCAGCCCCCAGCGGCGAGACCCACGACCCACGTAGATGGGCCCGCCAGCCTGGTCCAGCTTGGCGTGCAGGCCCTCGTCGATCTCGGAGCGACCGCACCGCAGCGACGTCACGTCGCCGGCCCACAGCTTCCTGCCACCAGCCCAGGCTCGCGCGCTCTCGTGCAGCTCACCCAGCGAGGGCACCGAGACCAGCAGCCCAGCTCCGACGGCCCAGTGGCTGATGATCCAGGCCACGACCTCGCACTGGAAGGAGTTGCCCACGAGCGACCGCCGAAGAGCCTCGTACTTGGCGGGCTCGGCCTTCGCCTGGCTGCTTGTCATGCACGGCACGGTGTGGCCCTCCGGGAAGCCCATCAGCTTCTCTCGTATGGTAGCGTCAGGCGGCTCCACGCGGCCATTCGCCTGGTGGATGCACCACTTGTCACGGAACTGGTAGGGCGGCGAAGCGAAGCCCGCCGCCTCCCAGCGCGCCAGCTCAGCAGCGCTGCACTCCCCCGATGCCCGCAGGCCTGGGGGCGCGGCTGCGAGCGCGGCGTCCAGCGCACGAAGGTCGGGAGCGGCCCCCCTGCAGCGGGACCCGGACACGCAGCCCCGGGCGGGAGCCACTCCTCGAGCGGCGGCCGCTCCGCCTTCAGCGCCACCTTGCAGGCGCGCCGAACGTCCTGGGTCTTGGCCTGCACCACGACGGGCTCGGCCTCGAAGGACGGCAGGAGGTCCCACGAAGCCCAGTAGAGCCGCGGACGTCTGACCCAGCCGACATCCCCCGCCTCAATCTCCAGCGGGATGCGGCCGAAGAGCTGGTTCAGGCGCAGCACGTCGCACTCGGGCATCGACGCGACGTTCTCCACGAGGAAGTCGATCGACGCCTCCGGCATGGCCGTCCGCAGCCCGTCCACGATCCGCACCATGTGGTCAACCAGGCCCGCGCGCGGGTCGTCGAGACCCTGCCGAGCGACGTTGAGACCCGCGAAGACCTGGCACGGGAAGCCGCCCACCACCAGCACACGCGACACCCGGCCTCGGGCGCGCAGCAGGGCTGCCAGGGCCACCGGGTCCGCCTCCATCACGTCCCCCAGGTGCTGCGTGCTGGGGTAGCTGCGCCGGGCCACCCGCACCGCCGTGGGGTCAACCTCGAATGACAGGTGCACGGCAGGGACCAGTCCGAGGATCTCGAAAGCCCGGCGCCCGCCGCCGATGCCGTCGAAGACAGTCACGAGGGCGGTCTCCTCCTCGCAGGCGGCGTTCGCGGGCCGCTGCCGCCTCTCGGCCAGCGCGCGCCCGCGGTCGGAGAGGGCGTAGCCGTAGACCACGGCGCCAGCGGCCTCCGAGGCATCCGACGCGGTCACCAGGGGGTCGACCTCGAGGCGCAGGTCAGCGACGCAAAGCCCTGGCAGTGCAAGGCACATCAGGAGGTCCTCGACCACGCTCACGCTGAAGCGGCCGCCAGTGCGCGGGTTCCCGAGCCACTTCCAGGTGTAGGCAAAGCTGGCCGCCAGCGGCCGCCGAAAGCAGTGAACACGAACCCAGCGGCCCAGCAGAATGCGCACCAGCCGCATGCTGGCCCGCTTCTTGCTCAGCGTCCACAGCGTAAGGCTGGCCATCTCGGTAAGGTAACCCGCAGGGGGCCGCCGAACGCCCTCGACCCCGTCGATGAGCTCCCCCAAGGTCGTCGCTCGCGGCACTCGATGGATGTCCTTGGACGGCGATCCCGGGGAGCCCGCAGCCGCATAGCAGGCGCGAGCCTCGGAGATGAGCTCGGGCACCGTCCCTCGCAGCGTCGTGGCCTCGGACTTGCTCACGACCTCCGCGACCTCCAGGTTGTCAATGTAGACCATCCACGCCGGAGGGTACGGCTTCTCCACGCTGAACGGCAGCCGTCGGCGCCGAGTGACCTCCTGGCTGGGCGGCAGGCCGCGAGGGACAGAGGCGCTCCGCCGCAGCATGTTCCGGTGGAGGTGGGTCGTCACGCCCGCGGCACTGATCCAGCCCATGCCGATCACCCGCAGGCAGATGCGCGTGGTCCCACCGTCCTTCAGGCCAAGCAACTCCGAGGGGACGGGCGGCCCTATTACCATGTAAGGCCACCACGCAGGCGGCGCGCGGAAGACGTAGAAGAAGGCCTTTCTGTCCGCGCCGCTCCACAGGAGATCCTCCGACTCGGTCAGCACCAGGCCGTTCAGCTGGCTCATGGTCGGCATCTCAGGGGCGTCTCCCACGATGCACTCCTGGCACGCGTTCGAGGGGATGAGGTTGGTGATCAGCCTCAGGACCGGCCTGCGCTCGCCGTCGCTGCAGACCACGGGCTCGTCGTGGGGCTTGGGCACCCCGAGCGCCCCGTTCAGGAGCGGGGCTCCGTCGCGACAGGCAATCTCGCTGCTCGGGATCGCCGACGCCATCCCGCGCTCGTGGAGCGCCCGCACGATCCGATGCCACTCCTCGAGCGAGGCCCACACGCGCGCAGATGTCGGCGCGGGCCGCCGCAGGGCAGCGGGCAGCAGCACCAGCGTCGGGTCCAGGAGGGCCTCGCGCACGAACCCCGTCGCGAGGTCGGCCGCCTCGATGGAGGCAGCGACGCCTGGCGGCGGCAGCCCGTCCAGCACCTGCTCCAGCGTCAGCCGATGCGGGGCCGAGATCTCGTCCCCGCCGTAGCCGATCTTGCGGCCCTTCAGCCGCACGTTCCAGTCAAGAAAGATCTGGCGGTAAGCAGACTCGGCCCGCGTAGCCAAGAGGAGGCGGCGGCCGAGAGCGACCAGGGCTGCCTGCTGCGCGGCATTGGCTCGACCTCGGCAGGGCCTGGCCAGCTTCAGGGAGCGGAACCCAGACTCCCAGTTTAGCGCCAGGACAGTGACCACCAGCCTGCAGTGTAGTCCTTCCCACTCCTTGTCGCTCAAAGGGTCCTCGCCCTGCTGGGCGATCTGGGACCTGGTGATCGAAGGGTATGGTAACGGCAACAGATCTCGCTGAAGCCGACCTCCCATGTCGGCCGGATGCTCGCGTGGCTCTACCTCGAAGGGAAATCTAGTGAAGCGACCGAAGGAGCCTGGGAACTGGCGGACTATGTTCAACAGCACGGGGCCCACGTCGAAAGGTTCTCGCAGAAGATCACTCGCCGCGCCAGCCCACTCGCGCCACTCTGCCAGCGGATCACCGTCACAGTCGGCATCCGTACCACAGGCCGGCGGGCACGACGAGGACGCCGGGCGGCGAGAGGCGGCAGCACCACCGCGGTCAGGAGCCAATCTCGGAGGCGGCGAGCGCGACGGTGAAGTCCAGGGCGGTCTGCGCGAGCGGGCAACCTCGGCAAACTCGGTCGCACTCGCACGCGCATCATCAGCGCTGGCACCATCAGCTCGCTGCCTCACCTCAGCGTCGCAGGAAGGCCGCCTCGGCCTCGGCCCCGGTGCTTCCTGCCGCCACGGCGGCGGCCGCTCGGGGGGGCCGGGCCTCGCGGCGGACCTTGCTGCAGCCCCGCTGCCGCCGCAGCCGCGGGCTGGTCCTGCCTGAAGACGTGGCGCTCCGGGCTCGTCGCCAGCGAGACACGCCTCGGCCCGTCCGCCGCCCTCGGGTGCGGGCTGTCGCCTCGAGGCGTCCTCGGCGCCCCCGGAGACGGCGACCTGCCCGCGCTGCCTGAGCGCGCTGCGCCTGGCGGACCCGCGGGCGGGGCTGCGGCTGCGGGCCCTGCCCCAGGCCGTGCTGGGCTCCCCGCCCGCAGGGGGAAGAAGCGGCCTCGGCCGCGCCCGCGGCTCTTCCCGCGACCGCGGCCCTGCTGGCGGCTCGGCGAGGGCGAGTGGGCTCCGCCGCTCCCGCGCCTCGCCTCCTCGGGTCAGGCTTGGCGCTCGCCCTGACCCTTGCCGCCGAGGCCGCCGCGGCTCTTCGCGTCCATCAGCTTCCTGCGCAGCAGTGCCGCCCGCCGCGCCAGGTCCTGGTCGCCCATCGAGGCCAGCGAGGGCCGCGCGTCCAGCGCGATCTCCAGCTCGCTCGCCACCTGCCAGCTCGCCTCGGACAGCGACAGCTCCAGAGCCTTGAAGCGCTGCATCAACACGTCGCTCAACTCCGCCAGGCACCCACTCTCCAGCAGGTCCAGCGCGGTCGCCAGCGTCTGCAGCTCCCGCTGAGTGTTGATCCGCATCTGCCCTGGAGGGTGATGGCCGAACACCACGGCCTGCAGGTAGCCCACGACCTTCGCTCGAACCTCTGGGCCGTCCGCCCCCTCCCGCAGGCCCATGACGCGCCCGATGTTCTTCATCGCCTCGTCGTACAGGGCACCTGGGCGCTTCTCGGCCAGCAGCCGTGCGCTGCCGCCGCGGGAGGGGGCCTCGCGAAAACGCGACTCACCGTCGTCGTCGCTGCGCGAGGCCGAGGAGCTCCGGGGGCGGCGGCGGCCGCGACCGCCACCGGCGCGGCCAGGCGTCGCCGCAGCAGCCTGCGCGCGCGCCGCGGCAGCTGCCGCCAGGCGGTCGGGGGCCGCGCCCCCGGCTGGGGCGCCCCCGCCAAGGCACCGCCGCCGCCGCGCCCACCGAAGGCGCTCGGCCGCACCCACGGCTCCACGAACCCGCGGTTCGAGCGCAGCCGCAGCCACTCGACATGCAGGACTCCTCGGCCTGGCACAGCGGGCTCCCCGCACAGCGCCGGTCCCTGCCCGCACAAGTGCAGGAGGCCCGCAGGCCCGGTGCCGCGCGGTGGGAACAGGCCGTCCAGCCGCATCGCCTCGGCCGCCAGCGACGCCCCCCTGAACTGGGCGCTCAGGTACTGACCTGAGGGGCCCGTGGTGCCGATCTCCTCTACCTCGAAGAGGGCCGTCCCGCTGATGCCTCCAGCTGCGTCGAAGGTCGGGAGCTCGAGATTCACCCCTCGGCGCCAGTCGGCGCCAATCAGAGTCACGGCCTGACGCCACGGACCGTCCACGAGTGGTCCCAGCTGCGCGCCGCCCGCTGGGGCGATGGGACCGCCAGCCACCGCGATCGGCACACCAGGGATCGCCGGGGCCCCCGGCACCGCACCAGGAGGAGGGCCTCCAGGAGGGCCGCCGCCGCCGCCCGCGAGCGCGCCCACCAGCGCGGCGCCCACGCCGCCGGGGGCAGCACCTCCGCCGTCAGGCACGGCGCCGCCCGCCGGGGGCGCCCCAGCAGCCCCGCCGCCTCCGAAGCCCCGCAGGCCGGGCAGCGCCGCCAGGCCAGGCACCACGGGCGCGCCGGCACCGCCGCCCACGGGCGCGGCCGCCGCGGCGCCGCCGACCGCCGCGGCCGCCGCCAGGCCCGGGGCAACAGGCGGGAAGGCGGCGGCACCTCCGCCTCTCCCCGCGGCTCCACGCCCGAGGCCGCCGGCGCCGCGCCCTCGGCCGCGGGCGCGTCCTCGACCCAAGGCCTTCGCCTTAGCCTTAGCCTTGGCTTTGCCCTTGGCGACGGCCTTCGCCTTCGGCGCCATCGAGCCCCAGGCCGGCGAGCGCGGAGAGCAGCGCGCCCAGGAGCCGGGCGGAGTCGAGCAGCGCCGCCCTTTCCTCCACGCTGAGGCGGGCGCGCCACGCCGCCTGCCGAATCAGACCGATGATGTAGCACAGCTCGCAGACCTCCAGGAGGGACCCGCCCTCGGCCAGGGCCAGCGACTCCCCTCGCCCGAGGGGTCCCGCGCACCACCCGCAGTATCGCACGGGCGAAGGGCGCGGCACGGTGGTCCCGGGGGCGTCCATGCCCTCCCTGGAGGGCGCGGAACCAGCCAGAACAGCTGCCATGCAAGCGAATGCGGCCGATATGACACGCAACCCCCCTGACGCCCACACATCTACCGTAAACGTATACATATATAACGGCGGATGTACATACAAACCATGGAATCATGACATATTGGTTAGGTAGAAGCAAGTGCAAATTAGGTGGTAATTATGTGTTTGCCCGCGCACTCTGAGGTGGCGGCAGGTGGGAGCCATCGCACATCGACCGCCTCCACCTCCTTATCACCCGTAGGGTGGTCCTATCGGTATACATATATCTCTATGTACGAGGCGCTCGACATGTTTCTTCGAAACGCTGCTCCTCATTTGCAGATCTGCGTTGCTCCCGTCGTTCAGAATACAGCTCTTGACCTCGCGCGGGCCACATTTCTGGATCCGACTCCTCCCTCGTCGTTGCCACGCCCCTTCTTTCCCCTCCTCCGCCTGTCCCTGGTCCTCCTGCTCCTCCCGTTCCTACCGTTCCTGCTCCTGCTGATGCTGCTGCTCCTCATCAGCCCTTCTCCCCCATCCTCCTTGTAACGCGGCTCATCCGCCACCTCCTCCTTCTCCTCCTCCTCCTCCTCCTCCTCCTCCTCCTCTTACTCCTCCTCTTCCCCCTCCTCCTCCTCCAATGTGCACAGCTCCCCTTTCTGCTTGCGCATCACACGATAGGGTCATTGACCACCCGTCGGCGGACAGAGGGAACACCAGCGCAGTAGGAAGGACTGCGTGGGAGGGTCGGATGCCTGTTGTGGCGCGCGCTCGCGCACCTGGCTTGTCCATTCTCCTTGCACCCGCCAAGTCCTCCTCGCCCTTCCCCCTCCCCTCCTCTTCTGTCCGCCTCTCCACCCTCCTCCTTCCTCTCCTCTCTCTCTCTCTCTCTTTCCCCTTACCCCTTCTCCTTTTACGGCCCGCTCCCTCCTCCCTCCTTTGCACCAGCCCCGTGCGTCGCCACCAGCTGCCGCCTGCGCGAGGGGCGGGTCACGCTGTCGCTGGGCGGCCACGCAGGAATGCCTAGTCCCCCGCAGCTGCGGGCACGTACAGGAGAGGGTCAGCACGCGCCCCCTGCGTGGACCCACAGCGTGGCCATCCCGCCCCAGCGTGGCCCCCCAGCGTGGCCCTCCAGCATTGGCCACCCAGCGTGGACCCCCCCCCCAGCGTTGGCCCCCCACCCAGCGTGGCCCCCCAAACGCGCCCCCTCCCAAACGCGGCCCGCAGGGTGCCCCCCCCCCCTCCCCCCCTCAGCGGCTCCAGCGTAGCCTCCCAGCGTGGCCCCTCAGCGCGGCCCCCCAAGCGTTGGCCCCCCAAGCGCGGCCCCCCAAGAAGCAGATTTCCGGACTGACGAATACGGGCAAGACCAAAGTAAAGCCGCTTGGGAACCCTCCCTCTGACGCAGTCCTGACGCAAGGGCCCCAAGCGCCAATGACATTCTATTTCATTTCCCAGGTAGCGACCGTTACGTTCGGGCGGGCGAGTGACGGTAATGGCGGCCGCGGCGTGCACCCGCCACGGTGCGCCCGCGCCTCCAGCGCATCAATCGCCTTACGATCGTTACCGTTACCCGGGGGGGGGCGGGTAACGAGCGTTACCCTGGGGAAGACAAAACGAGCACCCAACAAAACCCAGGGCGTGCGACGCCGTGCCTCCACGCTGCCAGCGCACCTCCGAGGAGGCTGCGGTGAGCAAGCCACACACGTCGTCGAACACCGGCGAGTCAGGCAGTGGGAAGCCCGTTTGAGCGCGGCCGCGAAGCGCGGGTGAGCACTGGCCGCCCCCCGCACATGTGCACCCCCAGGGGTGCTACGGGTGCGGCACTGGGGACGATGGAATTCTGGACAGGTCGCGCGGCCCGCAAGGTTTTCGGATATGGTGCGTTGCATATCAAGGTCGCACGACGTCCCAATTACTCGCTGACGCAGTGTTCAACACATCTGCAGCACTTATGTCGCCATACCTCTTCTTGTAACGCATAACAAAAATGTACGTGATCCATACACTGGGATTTGGGCCTTCCCGCTCTGCGTCTTGCGTGGTAATTGGGATATGAATATGCGCTCCCAATCTCTGCGGCGGCAGCGCCGAAACGCACCGACGCGACTCCATTATATCCCATTATGATAGAGATGGGGCCGGCGGCAGGGGACGAAGCCCTTACGGATAATGATGATAATGCTGAGAATGGTAATGCGAATGCCAATGACCATGATAATAATGATGTTACTGCTGGTGCTGGTGCTGCTGCTGCTGATGATGATGATGGTGATGCTGTTGATGATAATGATACTGATGATGATGGTGATGAGGATGATGATGGTGATGGCATTGATGAAGATGATGCTGATGATGCTGATGATGTTGATGCTGATGCTGATGATGATGGTGATGCTGATGATGGTGATAGTCATGATGAAAGTAATGTATCTACGACTGGCACTTCCCCCTGTAATGCTCAATGAAGATCGGCCCACCGTCGGCCCATCGCGGACCAACACTGTCTTGGCCAGAGATAATCAACTCAGTAGTGGGAAGGGGGTGGGCAGGCTCGATTATCCGGGGCATGCGGCTATCAAGGCTGGGGGGAGGAGGAGGGGGGTTCATGCGACGCGCCCCCAAACGTTTGTTCCACAAGTTTTCTCTTCAACGGTCTCACTGCCCCCCCTGGGGCTCGCCGCCAAGTCGCCGCCGTCGCCGCCGCCCCTCTGAGCGGGCGGCTGACGACGCTGCGCGCCCAAAGGGCCCTGAAGGAGTTCCGAGAAGCCCCCCATATGCCCCCCAGAGAAGTCTCCAAAAGGTCCAACCTGGGGAGCCGGCGGAATGGCGTAAGCCACCCGGGGTAACCGCAGACGTCAATTGTAGAGTTAGGTCGGGCGTGTCCCCCTACAGGCGGATTTTGGGCGAAAAATTAAAAATACTAAAAAGATGGCCCAAGATAGTGAAACAATTAATAATAAAAAAACCCAGACTCTGTTTTGTCAATTTTTGAATATTCCTCCTGTAGAGGGGCAGGCCCAACTTAATCTTAGAGGAACAGAAGACGGCATAAACATAAACTCTAGAAGGTCCGCGCGGATTTCGTAGATCTGAGCTGGACCCCCCTCCCTGGCGCGCGGAGCGCGCCAGGAGCGGCGCCGGAGGCGCCGCCAAGGGGGCCCAACGCCGATCCAGGGAGTCCGCAGAGAGCGCCGCACGTTTCTGCTTAGGCTGTTTTTCTTCGGAATCTTCTGGCGTCGCCGCCGCCGCCGCCGCCGCCGCCGCCGCCCCCCCCTGAGCGGGCGGCTGATGACGCTGCGCGCGGCGGAGGACACCTTCTCGGGGTCGGCCAAGGCGCCCTCTGGGCCGAGCTCCTCGAGCTCCCGCTGCCGCGCCTCCCGCGGCCCCTCCCCCCGGGGGAGGGAGGGGCACCGACGTCGACGGCGGCGGCGGCGACGGCGCCGACGTCACGACGACGAGCGCGATGAAGATCTCAGGTGAACAACCTGCCGTCGCTCGGACGTCCAGCCCCCGTGCGCTTCTCGGCTTCGTGCGTGTTTTTTTATTGCTCGATGATCTCGGATGCTCTCCGATGGTCCTCGCCGCAAGAACATGCACACGTCCGAGCGATGCCAGCAACAAAAACTGCATAAATGCAGACTTTTGAAGGTTCGCGCGGATTCCTTAAATCTGAGCTGGACCCCCGTCCCTGGCGCGCGGAGCGCGCCTGGGGCGGCGCCGGAGGCGCCGCCAGGGGGGCCCAGCGCAGGTCCAAGAAATCCGCGCGGAATGCCAAAAGTTTATGTTTATGCCACTCCCTGTTCTTCGAACGACGACGAGCACAAAGTTTTGGAGGGGCGGAGCAGTTTGGGAGGGGAGGGGTTTGGGGGCAGTTTGGCCTACTATTTATCGTCCAGCGCAGTTTTGGAGGGGAGGAGGGGGGAGAGGACACAGCAGCACGAGGAGTAGAAGGGCTGACCTCTCGCCATTGACGGAGGCGGGGGCGGAAGCAGAGCGATCGTCGGTTCTGCCGGCAGAGATCCTTGCCGTCTCTCGGACGTCCATTTCCCGAGTATGTTTCGGTGTCGTGCGTGTTTTTTTTTGTTTGCTCGATGGTCCAGGATGGTCCTCGAGGGTCCTCGCCGAGAAACAAAAAAACACACGCGCCCGAGCGATGCCAGGGAGCCAGGCAGACCCCACTGACCAAGAAGAGGGGCCGATGCCGAGGTCCCTCGGAGCGTCCGCGCTGGCCATTTGGGGGGGGGGAGGCTGGCCGATGAGGCTGCTGCCGCACCAGTGGTGCCCATCACCGGGCCGAGCAGCTGTCGCCTGCGGACTCGCTCGCCACACAGTGTCCCAGGCCCCGCCGTCGGAGCCGCCGGGAGGAGGGAGGAGGAGGAGGAGGGGGGAGGAGGGAGGAGGGAGGAGGACGGAGGAGGGAGGAGGAGGAGGAGGAGGAGGAGGAGGAGGAGGAGGAGGAGGAGGAGGAGGAGGACGGAGGAGGAGGAGGAGGAGGACGGAGGAGGAGGAGGAGGAGGAGGAGGAGGAGGAGGACGGTGCCGACGACAGCAGTGTGGTCGCAGCCATTTTGGGTGGGAGGCTGGCCGATGAGGATGATGCCGCACCAGTGGTGCCCATCACTGGGCCGAGCAGCTGCAGTCGGGGCGTTGACCTAAGGAACCCTAAAGAAGGAACGAGGCCCCTTTTCTCCATGGGTTGAACTTCGATTCCCCATCGAAAACCTAAGGAACACCTCGGTCGAGTTGTGAAACAATCAAGTAGCACGGAGCCCCTCCCCAACGAAAAGGGTTCCTTCTTCAGCGCCCCGACTGTATCGCTTGCGGACTCGCTCGCCAGAGTGCCCGAGACCCCGCCGTCGGAGCCACCCGAGGGCGGTGCCGTTGACAGCAGCGTGGTCGCGGGGGTCGCGAGCACGGCCGTTGCGACGGCCGCAGCGGGGGGCTGCTCTGGTCGTAACCTTTACCGACCCCTTGGCCTGCTCGCTGTGCATTGGAGCCTGTGGGTTGCAGGAAGATCCACCGTCTGACACGCGTGCACTCGCCAAAGGGCCAAAGACGGAGGGACGAAATCCGCCGACCCGGTCGGCGTGTGTGAGAGACGCTGTTCCGCTTGCTCCTTCGTCGTCGACGTCGTCGTCGCCGCTGTTCTCCCCTTCCCGTCGCAGAGATCTCCTGCGTCCGTCGGAGCTTTTCCTTTCCATGAGCCCTTCTTCTCGAGATCGCCGGCCAAAACGAAACTTCGCAACCTCGCAATTGAGTCGCAAGGAAGCCCTTCCCTTGATCCCTTCCCCGCCCAGCGGGGGGGTGCGGTGGGGTGGTGTCGAGGGGTGTCCAAGGTCAGAATGCCATCCATCCTGGGCGATCCTGGGGCCCAAAAAGGCTCCAAGACGGGGCACTCCAAGAGTATCCCAAGACGGTCCAAGAGGGCCTCGAATCGCCGAACAATCGGTCCAAGACGCGCAAGATAGCCTCAAGACAGCTCCAGAGGCCTCCAAGACGCCCGGAGGCTTCCAAGAGCACTCCCCAAAACCGTTTGTTTTTGTGTATGATAGATTTTGGCGTTCCCGCTTTTTCGGCTTCCCGGCGCTCCAAGACGGCCCAAATCGGCCTCCCCAAAATCGCCCTAAGACGACCCAAGAGGCCTCCAAGAGGGCCCCAAAACGACCCAAGAGTGCCCCAAGACGGCCCACGAGGCCCCCAAGACGGCTCCAAGAGGGTGCCCAGAATGCGGGGGACCCGAACGGACATTTCGAGCCCTCGGCCCCGAGAGGCTCCCGAGAAGGCCCAAGAAGCCCCCAAGAGGCCCCCAAGAGGCCACCAGGAAGGCCCAAGAATCCCCAAGAGGCTCCCGAGAGGCCCCCAAGTAGCTCCCAAGATGCTCCGAAACTGCCCCCCGAGGCCACCGAGAGCGCCCTGAAAAGACCCCAATGAGCATCCCTGAGGACTCTGACCCACGTCAGCGTCGTCGTCGTCGCCGCCGCAATCGTCGTCGCAGTCGTCCCCATTCAGGGTCGGCGGCACCAGCCGCAAGGCCTTCGCAGTGTAATCATCTGTCCACCCTGTCCCGTCAGTGGCCTTCCTGGCCGCCCTCATCATCGCTCGTCTCCTCTTCTCCCGCTCCTCCACGCCCAGTCCTCCCCATCCAATCCGACGCATCAACACATCAGTGCCCTGGCCTCAGCCCCTCCTCATGCCTCACGGGGCCCCACCTCCACACTGCCCCCTGCCTGCCATTCCCCTCTTTTTTCATCTCCCCCTGGCCCATGCCAGGCCTCCCGCCCTCCTCCTTCTCCTCCTCCTCTTCCTTTCCCCTGCTTTCCCCTTCTCCTTCTCCTCCCTCCTTCCTCTCCCTCCCTCCCTCCCTGTGAACACGGCTTCTTGCCCATGCCAGCGCCCGACGGCGACTGCGCGGAAGTGAACCGTGGGGGGCGGTAACCGTGGGAGCCACCGGGGTGCAGGAGAGTCGCCCTCGAGGGGCCCTACAGGGGCCCCCAAACTGCCGCCCGGAATTCCCAGAGGGCGCTGGAAGGGTGCAGGCACCCCCGCCCCTCACTTCCCCCACGCTGACTCCGCGCAGAGACGAGACCCCCTGGATGCCAAGTGGGGGGGGGGGCTCTTGGGCTGCCTCCATGCGGCCTCTTGGAAGGCTCCTGGGCGCCTCCTGGGGGCCTGCCGGCCCTCCCCCCCCCCGAGACATCCTCCACGAGGCCTCTTGGAAGGCTCCTGGGCGCCTCCTGGGGGCCTGTTGGCTCTCCCCCCCCCCCGAGACATCCGGCGTCGTGCTCGCCTCAGTGCGGCTCCCCCTTCGCACCCCTTCACGTGGACGGGCCTCTCGTCCCGCGCCGTCCCGTGACGGCCCTCGGGGCTGGCCGGGGCCCCCCCCCCCCGGAGGCCGAGAGCAGCACAAAGAGACCTCCCGCGATTGAGCTCTCCACGCCGCGAGGATGTCGGGGTCCTCGCTCCTCCTCTGCACCACCCCCACCCATCGCCTCTCCCCCCGCCCATGCTGAGGGGCAACGATAGGGGGGGGACTGGCATAGGGGGGGTGCATCGACCTGGAATCGGCGTTGCATCGCCGATGGATCGGCGATCGGCCTCCGATAGTGAGTCCCCGCCTTCCTGGGCAGGTTGGGGCTATCGGGCCCCTGTCGGCGTTCAATGGGCGATTGGGGGTCGATGCACCCCCCCCATGCCTATCCCCCCCCTATCGTCTCTCCCCTCGCCCACGCGCCGTGGGCGGGGAGAAGCCGCACGCCGCGTGGGCGGTGGACGCGTGCCAGCGCCCGCCTCGTCGTCGTCCTCAGCCTCGACGGCGTCCTCCTCCTCCTCCCTCCTCCTCCTCCCCTCCTCCTCCTCCTCCTCCTCCTCCTCCCCTCCCTCCCTCCCTCCCTCCTCCCTCCTCCCTCCTCCCTCCTCCTCCCCCTCCTCCCTCCTCCCTCCTCCCTCCTCCCTCCTCCTCCCTCCTCCCTCCTCCCTCCTCCTCCCTGACCCCGGAGCCCTGCGCCCCGCGGCCTGGCGGCCCCGCACCGACGCGAGGTGCGGGTCCCGCTCGGCGCCGTCGGGCGCGTCCAGCACGAAGTGGTGGTGAATGCTGCCTGGCGGCGGCGGCCCAGCTCATCTCCATCTCCACCCCCATCTCCACATCCAGCCCCATCCCCATCCCCATCCCCATCTCCAGCCCCATCCATCTCCATCTCCATCTCCACCACCATCTCCATCTCCATCTCCAGCCCCATCTCCATCTCCGGCCCATCTCCATCTCCACCCCCATCTCCATATCCATCGGGAAACGAAAAGGTGGCATAAACATCAAATCTCGGAGTTCCGCGCGGATTTCTCGGATCGGCGCTGGGGCACCCTGGCGGCGCCTCTGGCGCCGCCCCTGGCGCGCTCAGCGCGCCAGGGAGGGGGGTCCAGCGCCGATCCGAGAAACCCGTGCGGACCTCCGAGTGTTAATGTTTATGCCAGTCTTCGTTCCCCTAATATCCAGCCCTATCCCCATCCCCGGCCCCATCTCCAGCCCCATTCATCTCCATCTACATATCCATCTCCAGCCCCTGTGTGCTGGAACACCACCGACCGGACGAATGTGGAGTGGAGGCGCGGCCGGTCCGGCTTGATGGGACGGCCAGCTGGCTGTGCTCTGCCTTCACGAGGTTCGGAGGTTGCCGGAAGAGGTCCCTGGCCCCTCCCTGGAAGTCCCCTGGGGGCACCTCGGGCCATGGCCACCTCCAGCAGCGCCCGAAAGGTACAGGCGCGGTGTCTGCCAGCAGGGGCGCTCGGGAGGGAGTGCAGCAGGCGCAGCCACTGCCTCTCGCCAAAGGGGCAACGACGGCGACCACGACGAGGACGAGGACGCCGCTGCCGGCGGCGAGGGCGGAGGACGGGGCGGCGGATGCTGCCTGGCGCGGCAGCGGGTCAGATGGCCGCCGGGGCCTGGCCGCCCGCTCCTCCTCGTCGTGGTCGCCTCGGAGGCTGCCTGGGGAGCTTCTGGAGGCTAGGCTGTCTTCGTCGCCTCGGCTGGGCGCAGCTCGAACAAGCGGCCAGGGCTGGGCCCAGCTGGTTGGAGTCGGCCGGGGATCTGAGCTTGCCCACGACTGGTTCCGCCAGAGCGGGGGGAGGGGGGGGAGCGAGGCTCGAGGTTTGGGAATTGAGGTGGTTTGCTTTTTGTGTGTCAGCCTCCAAAGGCCGTGTTCGGGCCATGGGACCGTCAAAAATGCATCCGCGGTGGAAAAAGCTCCACCAGATGGACCCGTGGAGTGTCCAAGGGACCGATTTTGAACAGATGTTGGTTGGACGACGGTGACCACCACGACTGCGACCACGACGAACTCGACGGCGGTGCGGCAGGGCAGCCCCGCAAGAGGAACTTCGCACTGATTGTGCCCTTCTGGGGCCCTCCTCCTTCTCCTCCTCCTGCTCCTCCTGCTCCTCCTGCTCCTTTTCCTCCTCCTCCTCCTCCTCCTCCTCCTCCTCCTCCTCCCCCTCCTCTTCGGTCGGTCGGTCGGGCGAGAGGACCACATGGCGAAGAGGGTGAGGAAAACGGCAGGGCAGAGGCAACAGCAGAGCCGGCGAGGGGGTGCCGCGGCTTCGAGCGCCGATTGGCGCGGGCCCGCCCCGCTGGATCCGCGCCGAAATTCTGGCAGGAGCACCCCTAATTAGACAGTGCCAGGGGAGGGGGTCGACCCTGAGGGAAGAACCAGACCATCAGCGTTCGGCCGCGCCCACCAGCGGGCAGGTGAAGGGGGGAAGGCTTCTGAGAAGGAGGCTGCTCCTCAGAAGGCGCAGGCCTTACTTCTATAGAGAAGGCCCGCACCTTCTAAGAAGCAGGGGTGCTTCCAAGAAGCCTTTCCCCCTCCCCCTACCCCCCTCTGCGCGTGGCTGAGAGTGCACCGGGGCAGACCCCCTACGTCGTGACTTGTCGTACGGCGTTGGCTCCCACAGATCTGGAATCACTCCCCAGGACAGGCCTTGTTTTATCCTGAGGTGTTTTGATGACGCGAGGAGGTCTGCGGAAGGGCCCTTCGGGGGGCCGAAGGCCGGCCGACACCGGGAGGAAAAACTGACGGGATTGAAACATCTGATCGCAAGAGATCTAGGCCCCCCTCGACCACTTCGCCTCCCCTTCCGCCTCCCCCGTCTCCGCGCTCACCGTCGGTCTCGCGCGCAGGCCCACCTGTTGCAGACTAGTCTTCGCGCGACACTGGGCTTGCTTGGTGCTGTTCGTGTGACTTTCGTGCGCAGTGGAGCGAGATCTGGGCCCAGAGGGTTCGAGGAAGCCTCGGTTCTGAACTGGATGCAGGGGAGCCCAGAATCGAATCGACAAGTCGGATCGGCGATCGAAGGCAATGGCGCCCCCCACCCAACGCTTGTGTGGATGCTGTTGGTTTTCCGAATGCCTTCAGCGACGGGCGTGCTACGAGCGGGGCGCTCCGGCCGTGTGACGGAGACCCCTACCCGTGCCCGGAGCGAAAGCAGGATCGACACTGCAGGGTGGGTGGGCGGTTGGCGCAGCGAGCGCTCGAGCTGAGCCAAAATGGCCACGAGTGCCTTGACTCGCGCTCGCCCAGCCCAAGGCGCCTCACTGGCCCTTTGCACTAAATCTAATGCACGCATCAGTCGGACCAGCGGAAATGGGCAGCCGAATCGGGAGAAGTCAAATCGGCAAACATCGGCAGGCTTGCAGGCCTCCACTGAGGAATCGGAGCCCACATCGGAATCCAAAGTCGAATCGAATCGGAATCGGAGGCCATCGAATCGCATCGGAGGAATCGAAACAAGCCCTGTGGATGGGCCCCGAGAAAATCGGTCAAGAGGGGGACGGGGCCGAATCCGCTCAAAATCGGTCCCTTGGACCAACCCTCCACGGATCCATCTGGTGGAGTCTTTCTTTCACACCGAGTGTGTTTTTATGACGGTCCCGGGGCCCGGAAAGGGTCCCTGGAGGCCGAGCAAAAAAGCAAAACACCTCCTCGAGCCCAAAACCTCGAACCTTGCCCCCCCTCCGCCCCTCCTCTCTGGAACCAATGGTGGGCAACCTCAAGTCCCCAGCCGACTCCAAGACGAGCCGGGTGTTGCTAGAATTAGGTCGGACATGTCCACCCACAGGCGGATGTCGGGCGAAAAATAAGAGATAGTCCAGCAGTATTGAAAAATATAGAAAAATAGCCCTAAAGTGTCCCCGTATCATTTTTTTCCTATTTTTGTGTACTCCTCCTGTAGAGGGACAGGCCCGACTTTATGCTTAATGCTAGAAGTGCCCCCTGCCCGAGGTGCCCCTACAGGAGTTCTCAGGAGGCCCCCCCCTGGCCTTCCGCGCACCCCTCGTGATGCCCAGAGGGCCCCGCGGGCTCCAAGGTGGAGCGGGGAGCTGGGGGCCTTGGGCCAGGTCGGGCCTGTCCCCCGACAGGGGCATTCTGGACGAAACATAAAACATTTCCTACAAATATTCAAACAAAACTCAGAAGGTGCCGAACAGTACTCAAAAAATAGTCCCCTGACTATTTCGTTTTGACTATTTTTGACTGTTCCCCGTGTAGAGGGACAGGCCCGACTTCAGCCTTGGGCCAGGGGCACCATCCCAGACCCCCGACGTCACGATGTTTTCGCAACGTCGACCCCCGGAGGTCTGGGCCCCTTCCCCGGGGCCGGCTTCTCATCCCCCGAGTCACTTGAGCAGGGACCGACCGTCCCGGCATCCCCATAGTCCCAGCACGAAGTGCTCTTAGAACCCCCAAAGTGTTCTAAGAACAACAACAGTGTTCTTAGAACACAAACCCGACGTGTTAAAACAAGACAATCTCCGCCATAACTGTTCTAAGAACACTTCGTGGGATCCACAAAAGGTTCTTCTAGAACATTGCTTGGTGGGGCTATAGGCGAGCCGGGACGCTTCGCCACTGCTTGAGTCACTGCTTGACGGCCCCGAGGCGCCTGGCAAAAGGGCCCCCGGAGGCCGCGCGTGGCGAGAACACCTGCCCGCCGCGACTTTTTCACAACGCCATATGGGGGGTCTGGGCTTACATCGGCCGCCCCCGACGACCAGGGGCGGCCAAGAGGGGGGCGTCCAAGAGGGGGGGGGCGCAGATCATGGCCGGCGGCACGTGCGCGGCCCAGGGCGGGGGGAGACGTAATTCAATAAGAAGGCGCGCCACGAAAGCTGTGGAGATGTCGTGGCCCCCGCCGTGATACTATCCCCCACCCCCCTAGTCATCAACCCCCCCCTTGTCATTGCACCGGCCTTGCAGACGTGCTGCAGCGGATTTCCGCGTGGATTTCTGCCCGAAGCGGCGAGCGAAAAGCGAAGTGAATTTCGCGTGGATTCTTTTTGGCCTTCATTCCTGGTCCCAGAAAATACGCACGACATTCACCTCGAAATCCGGAACGACATTCTCCAGGACACCCCGGGCCCATCCTTTCGTTTTCCGAACGGAATCCGCTCTGCGATGTTGGCGCCATGACTCCTGGCCGCCCCCGATATAAAAAGGGGTCTCTGGGCTTTGGACGCCCCCGGCGAGGAGGGACCCCTCGGGGCGCCCGGGAGCGGCCGCCGGGCCGGCGGCCTGGGCCCACGGGCGGCGCCGCCTCGCCACCCGCGGCCGGCGGGCCTGAGGGGCAACGGCAGGGGGGGGACTGGGCACACTGGAGGGTTCCAGAGGAGGTTTGGGGGGGAGTGGGTTTTCCAGGAGGGGTCCCCCCCAGGGGCTTCGCACCCCGTCTTTTGACGAGGCTCCGAGGCCGCTGGGGGGCTCTCTGGAAACCCCCTCCCCCCAAACCCCCTTTGGAACCCTCCGGGCACGGGGGGGGATGCTACGCTACGCTACTCCAGGTCGGCCCGAAGGCCGTGCCAATCTAGAACTCGGGAGGTTTTCACGAAAAACTCCGCGCTGACAGGCACAGATTCAATCAAGGGGTGATGCATCGGCCTGGAATCTGCGACACATCGCCGATAGATCGGTGATAAGCCCCCGAGAGTGCATCCGCAGCTTCCGGGGCAAGTTGGGGCTATCGGGCCCCTGTCGGCGACCAATGGGCGATTGGGGATCGATGCGCCCCCCCCTGAGCTCATCCCCGTGCCCGGTGGTTTCGGGGCCATCCGGGACGATTCTGGCGC